GTAAGCGCAAGAGCACACTTTCAGAGCAAAAGAATCAGAGAAGGGAGAGCTCTGTGTTGAAGCAAATCCTACTGATTACTGTCAAACCCTAACAAGCTGTATTGACAAAGTGACTGTAACAACGGGCTCGAGCATCTCAGAGACGGTGAGGATGATGCAGGAAGGGTCATGTGAGTCTTGGCTGACTTGAGAGCACCTAACAACAGTGACAATAGGTTATTAAGACATGTCAACAGTGATAAGCTTTGTTGACTGTATATACTCTAAATATAGTCCCTTGAAAATGGCACTATTTCTGTGCTTTTCTTTCCCCAAACCCATAACCCCAATCCAGTCACATTAAATATTAGGTAAATCCCCTTAAAAGGGCATTCAACAACATATTTGACCAGTATTCAAAACGGACCTGGTTATAAAAAATGAGGAAAGTCTGAGAATGTGTCACATACTGGAGATCCCTAAGAAGCCATGATGAATACATGTAATCTGGTTTGCTGAACGAGACCTTGAAACAGAAGAAAGGCATGAGGTAAAATCTTAGTAAATGTGTGGATTTTAGATGATGATAATAATATGAAAATAAAACAAAAGGATTTCCTTTTATCTTGCATTCTGAAATATAGGGTTTGCATATCAAAGTGCTTAAGGATTAAATGATCCGACATCTGTGATTTGTTTTAAATAATTAAGTGGGGTAAGAGACGAGCAGGAGATAATAATTATCGACCCTGGGGGATGTGTAGCTTCGTTATACTCTTCTCTCTATTCTCATATGTGTACTTTTAAAGTGCTTATAATATAAAAGTTATTGTTGTTGTTATGTGCCGACCCTATGTACAACAGTCCTAAACCCTGCTCTATTCTGTGCCAATCTGTCTCTGACATACTTACCCCCATTACCCCGGTCACCGAATCAATCCATCTAATCGAGGGTCTTCCTCTCCTGCGCTGTCCCTCCACCCTCCCAAGCATGACATCCCTCTCCAAGGACCAGTCCCTCCTTGCAACATGTCCAAAGTATGTCAGACGAAGCTTCAGGATCCTTGCCTTCAAGGAGCAGTCAGTCTGGCTTCATCCTCTCTGGGATAAATCTGTTTGTTCTCCTGGCAGTCCATGTATATTCAATACTTTTCTCCAGCACCACAGCTCAAAGGCATCAACTCTCCTTCTATCATCTTTAGTCATTGTCCAGCTCTCTGATGCATAGCGATTACAAAGACCATGGCCTGTATCAAGCGCACCTTAGTCTCCAGACTGACATCGTTGATGTTCAGTACTTTGGAGACGTCTCTGACAGCAGACTTTCCCAATGCACAAAAAAAAAAAAAAAAAAAAGCAAAAGAGCAAATCAGGCTTGAGCTATGAATGCTTGTTTCTACTTCCCAAAGTGTGCCCAGTCCTGGTCTACACTCTGCACTTGGATCATTCCAGGCAAACCTTCACAGTGAAGCAACCCCTCCACTTTGTCTCTTATAAAAGCGTGAGTTCAAACCTCAGTTTGTGGGGAGCTCTGGTGGCCTAGTGGCAAGGAGCTGCAACTACAATCTCAGAGGCACACGGTTCGAATCCACCAGATGCTCTGCCGAGGAAGGAGGGACAATCTCCTCCTGTACCAGTCAGATCAGATTTGACGGTACACTCACACACACACACACACACACACACACACACACACAAACAAAAACCACCTCAGTCTGTGACCCATTCACATTTGCCTATTCAAGCAAAATAGAAAAGGGTTTTCCTCATGCAGGCACATAACACAGCAGAGAAAGGACAGCCACTGTTAAAGGTAGACAACCTGGGTTCCAGTTTTGTCTTGTCAAGTGCAAGTCATGTGATCTTGGATCATCTGCATCAAAATTCTGTGGGCCTCCTCACACATTGATCCCCAAGTCTTACTGTGACTGACTAAGCAAATCCCAAAGGGTGGCCTCACAAAGCTTCAATGGACAGACTTACTATTTTTAGCTGTGTCCCTCAGAGTTGGAGATCATCACATTTCTTTCAGATTTTGCCCCACTGAGCATTGCAAAACTTGAACTTTGGAGTTAGCCACTTTAGAGAAAAATCTGCTGGGGCAAAGATTTCTTTCCATTTTATTTTATTTTCCATTTCATAGGAAAGTGCAAAACATTTTCTGACTGGAGTGAAAATGAAAACATCTACAAGGACTGGGTGTTATTATAATACAAGGTCCACCACCTGCCTCCCTTAATCCATGTTCCAGTAATAAAATATGAAGGCCAATGTGGGGACAGACCTAGGCCTGAATTTTTGCTTAGTTGTACCATTGGGGTATCAAATACCATAATGGTTTCCCAATGTAGAACAGTGTCTGGTGGAGCTCCCAGTTGTAAAACAGGTTTGGAAGCAGGAGTGGCATCCACTTCCTAAACCACATGCCTCTGGAAATTCTATGAACATGGAGAAATAACAATAGTTAGGAAAAGCATTAGGTCTCTTGTTCATAGAGTTGCTATGAGTCATGCTCGATTCAACGGCATTCCACAATAAGAACATGATAATAATCAATAGGTTAGCTGATTGATCTTCCAGTATCACTGCAGGAGCTCCTCCCTACAGGAGGCTTTTCAGAGGTAAAATTGTGATAGAGCTTTGAAGGCTGAAAACAAATGCTTGATGTTTAGATGTATGCAAAGAAGAGAAGTATATCCCAACACCACCAAGATAGCAAACGTACAGCAAACGTCAACATCCACTCAGATGCTGAAAGCTGTTTTTGTTATGTGCATCTAAGTAGACTGTGACTCACAGTGACCCTGTGAGAAAGAGCTCTGAACCTTGTTCTCTCTTGAGCTAGTCTTGCTGTCTCTGACACACCTGTCTCCATTACCACAGTCACTGTGTCAATCTTTCTCATCCAGGGTCTTCCTTTTCTCTGCTGACCCTCTACCCTTCCAAGAATGATGTCCTTCTCCAAGGATTGGTCCCTCCTGGACATATGCCCAAAGTATGTGAGACGGAGCTATAAAATCCTTGCCTCCAAGGAGCAGCGTGGTTTAACCTTCTCTAGGACAGACTTATTTGTTCTCTTGGCAGCGCATGGTATATTCAACACTCTTCTCCAGTACCACAACTCAAAGGCATCAATTCTTCTTCTGTCATCCTTAGTCACTGTCAAGCTATCTGATGCATAGCAAGTAATTGCAAAGACCATGAACCGGATCAGGCACACCTTAGTCTCTAGACTGACATCATTGCTCCTTAGTACTCTGGCATGAGAGCTATACAGGTTCTATCTATCTATCTATCTATCTATCTATCACAAGATTTATCAATTTTTAAAAAAACAATTCATTTGACAGAACAATCAGAGAAAGTAGTGGAAAAGAAATTTCTCAATTAAATAAAATTAGAACTTACCCCAGACTCTGTGGCTAAAAGTTGCATAATCTTTCTTTGAAATATTTCTGAGGTGGTAGAATTTTATTTTCTTGTTAATGATGAGAGCTTCTATTATGTTACTAATCAGAGAATTCCACTTACAGTATTTCATTCTGCCACGTGGTGGTGCCATGGCAAAAAATAATAATAATTTTAAAACTATTGTGAGTGTTTGCTGGACTGTACGCTTTTGAAAGATTGTAGTCCTTTTACATATCACAATGATTGGAACTATGTAATCAGCCTTTCACTGCAAAAAGCCAGGCTTGTCTAGAGCCAAACAGGAAGCCAGTTTCATTCAAACCAGTTCTTTTTCAATTATGAAAAATAGTCCACATATCCTTATGTGACTATACAGCACACAACCCTATACCTATTACTTAGAATTAGTAAGTGTTAACAATCTATTAAATCTGCTTAAAAAATTAAAATTGGTGCTCCTTTGTTCTCCTTCTGTTCCGTGGAAGCAAGTGTCCAAAATGTGATTCTTTCCATTTTTTTAATCTTTAATACATGTTTATAGTCCATAAGTAATGCAAACGTGATTTCATATTCTAAAAACCGTATATTTTCATTATTTCAGTATAGTGACATTTGTTTCCCCCAATTCAACATGTATTTGACGTCTTCTCATACTAGGATACATGTGTGAATATAAATGTAATTCATCAGTTTCAACTACTATATTGTTTTTGGCAAAAGTACATATAAGATTTATTTATTTATTCTCCTATTAATAAACTCTTCAACTTTGTAGAGAATGCAATGTCCAGAAAAATATACATTTATCATGGCCTCGAAAATATCTAATGAATGAGTGGAGGCTGGCTTTTAATTCAAGGAAGAGTTGAAAAATCTCATTTCTCTCCTCCCACTCCCCAGTTATTTGCCATTAATGTGCACTCTATTCTGCCCACGTGGCAGAAGTCATTCCTTTTGCCCACAGTCCACTGAAAAAGCCTGATTTTGGTGTGCGTATGGAGACAGGGTGGGGTTGGGTAGATGGAAGTGGGCAGAGAAGAGACACAAAGAAATCTTAGTATCAAGATGCAAAAACAACGTGAAGGTCTGCATGGTCAGGAGCAGAGGAGGATGAAAGCAGCAAGAATTATAAATATGTGAAGGTCTGAGAGTTTAAAGTGCAGGGCATGTCCTGTGCTATCTAACTGGAATAACGGGGTGACGGAATAAACAGGTCTTTCTCTCCATCTGGCTCCGGGAAGATGCAACCATCAAACGCCCGGCGGTTGCCATGGGAACCAGCCCCAGGGAGGCAGCCAGAATTCTGTACGCGTGATGCGCTCGGAATGTTTCTTCTTCCGGTCCTCGGCTCCTCGCAACCAGCGCCTGTCTCCACGCCCCCCGCCCGTTCTGTGGTCTCACATCATTCTCCTTCCCCTCCTCTTCTCCGTTCCGGGCCGCCATCTTGGACCACGCATCAAGATGGCGCCCCCACACCCGCCCCTCGCTCCCAGCTTCCCAGCTCCCTGCGCTACAGTGAGATTGCGCGCGCACGTGCTGTGCGTCAGAGGGCGTGATCACCGCGCAGCCCCGCCCACCGGCGCTGGCCCCCGCCTCTCCCCTCTCCGCCTTTCTCCCGGCAGGCGAACCCGGAAGTGGAGGGGAGGCGCGGCGGCGGCGGAGGCTGTGGCGGCGCAGGCGGGCGCTGGCCAGCCGTCCCCGGGGAGCGTGTCCGGGCTGGGGTCCGGGGGCGGGGCCGAGGGCCCCGGGCAGCCCGGCCTGGCCGGGTCGGGGGAGGCCATGGCCTCGGCAGAGTTGCAAGGGAAGTACCAGAAGCTGGCTCAGGAGTACTCCAAGGTACCCATCATGGGCGGGGCGTGGGGGTCCCCGGCCCTGCGGCCTCGGCTTCGCGTGGCAGCGACTCGGCGGCTCCGAGGGGCCAGCAGGGGGCGGGCCGGCGCGGTCCAGGGCCCTCGGGAGCCCAGGGGCCTCGGGCGCCGCCTGTGTGCACCCTTACCTGCCTCCACCTGCAGCTCCCCGGGGATGGGGCTGGGTGGCGCCCGTCCGGGTGGCTGACGGCGGGCTGCACGGGCGGCTGCAGGCTGGGCTGTCAGACATCCAGCCTGGGCCTCCGCTGCTGGCCTGCACCCGGAGGGCAGCGAAGGGTGCACACCTCCTCGGCCCCTCGCCACAGTCGCCCGTTTCCCAGCCAAGTGATGGGGAAGAGCCGCCTCCCTCCCACCCCGCAGGACCCCCTCCCCAGCATCGTCCTGGAGGCAGGACAGTGCCACACCCGCGAACTGCTTCACCCAAGATGATGGCCAGGGGGGTGTCGAAAGCTGGAGGGGCTAAGGCAGTGCCATTTGCTCCCTTCTCCCCCCTGCCTCGTAGGGCACACTCAGGACGTGTTGAATTAAGCAAAACCAGGGATCAACCCCCTTTGTCATGCTTAAGGCCTCAGCCTTTGAAATGATGAATCCCTTTTCCCTGGAAAAGGGCGGTTCTGCGTCTGGTTAGGGTGTTTCTGCTTGAGGAACATTGCAATGAACTTGCAGTCAGATTTGACATCTGTGGAAATCGGTTCAGCAGCCATTAACGTCTCATTTATCTTGCGTGCATGGAGCAATGTGAAGACGTAGACCCTTATTTTTTTACAGTTTGGAGAAACTGAGACACACTTCCTCCCCCTCCCCAACTTCCCCCCCTCCCCAAAAATCTGGCTGCCTAGTGGTAAAACACTACCTTGCAGTCCCAAAGGCATGTGGTTCTAATTCACTAGTTGCTTCATGGGAGGAAGACTGACTGCTTCTGGAAACCCGCGGGTGGGTCAGCTGTGGATCAGTTCTGATTCCGTGGCACACGTCAGGAACAGTATTCTGTAAGGCGAGCAAAAACATTTTTTGGAGATACTACAAAATTTGCACCCAAATCTGCACACTTTTACTATCAAATGGGAGGCTTTTGGGATCCCATGCTTTTCCCAGTAGTATTCCTGTTGGCAAAACGTTATTTACAGTACTATTTAAAGTTGTCTTAAGACAAGAGTGTGTGGCGTGTCTTAAATATTATTGTTGTTATATTCCATCAATCAAGTTGGAACCAATTCATAACTGATCACCCAGCTAGGTTTTCAGAGACAGTAAATCCCAAGGGAGGAAATTGCCAATATTTCTCCAACTGGTGGGTTCCAGCCAGCTTTCCTTTGAGTTGTCAACACAGCTTCTTTCTACCAGGCCGCCAGAGCTCCCTTTATGTATCATTGTTCTTAGATGCCTCCTAACTTCCCTGTGCACAGCAGCTCTGAACCCTGGCCTAGCCTTTGCCAATGGAATGACAATTTTTCTTCATAGGAAAGAAGATCCCCCCGCCCCCCTTTTCCCCTTGGAGTGCCAGATTTTGCAATAAATTAGTATATACTAAAGGTTTGGGGAGAAAGAACCTTGTTCCAGCTTGGCTGCGTGGTTTTTGGTTGATAATATTTTATGAGTATAAAGTAAAGTGACTGATTTTCTTTAAACAGTAAGCAAACTAAGAAGGTAATCCCAGCAAGCAACAGAGGAGTTCCAAAGTGTTTTTGAGCATTGACTACATTGCTGAAATTACTGTGTAGCTTCCTAAAGTAGTAAAAATGCAGAGGTTTTGTCCTTTTGGCCATGAAAATGTCCTTATTCAGTAGACATTTATAATGTGACCCTTGTAAGCAGTTTGCTGGGGTTTGTTGAGTGAGGCAGAGGTCTACCTTATGAAACTCACCCTTCAAGGGAGCTCTGGTGGCCTAGTGGCAAGAAGCTGCACAGCAATACTGAAGGCAAACAGGGTTTGAATCCATCAGATACTCTGCTGGAGAAGGAGGGGCAATCTCCTCCTGTGCCAGTGGGATCCAACTCATTGGTATACAACAAGGGGAGGTGGAAGGTAGAGGGAAAAGAAGCTCACCCTTCATAGAATGTTCAGACCTGGTACATAATTAAATGGTATAACAAGTGTCTAATGGTTCAGAGGAGACACGTAAATAAGGGTAGACGTAACTCAAATCGGAGACTGAGGGAAAGGGAGGAAACTGCAGCCTATGGTAGGAAATCTTGAACCTGTATTTGCAGACGTGGAAGCTTTAAGCTACATAGCAGGGAGTGGTTAGGTGCAGTGTGGATGTAATTCAGACGCAGACATTCAGGATTGTCATAAAAGAAGTTTGAGAAGTGGAGAAAATGCTAAAAGATTTTTGAGCCGGCAAGTGATTCTACTTTTGGAGGGAAGGAAACTGGTATGTGGAGGAAAGGTTAAAATAGAGAAAGGCCAGTGAAGAGAACACTGATCCAAACTCAGACTCATTGCCATTGAGTTGGAACTGACTCACAGCTCACCCTCCCGTGGTTTTTCAGGGGCTGCAGATCACCTGAGAGGAGATTGCCAATCTTTCTCCTGAGGAGCAGCTGGTGGAAAATGGCACAAACAGGACAGATCTTTTATTCATAGGGTCACTCAGCAGCACCTCACAAGGACCATTGGGTCGGCAGTGCAGTGTAAAGTTGGGTTAAGGAACTGCAGGGTGTAATTTGCAATGTGTCAGGCTGCTAACCAGAACCATAGTTAAAAATCAAGCCACTCTTTCGGAGAAAGCTGGGCAGGCTCCTCCCATAAACATTTTAGAAACTATGAAACCTGATAGAGAATCTGTAATAGTTGGAATGACTTGACAACAGTGGATTTTACAATGTGAAATTAAATAAACACTGTTAAAGTGAAGGAAGGGCTAGGTTCAGGCATTAAAGCTACTTGGTTACACTGGAGTTGCATCTCTTGTTACAGTGTCTGCTTTGTGCTTGTGATTATGAAAGCACTAAGGAGGTGGGAACATCTCATTCATTCAGTGTCTTGGTGTTAATGATTACTTGTGGTCAGTGAGGGGAGAGTCATAGGGGACTGTGTAGTTCTGAAGTGAAGGAACCACAGTGCCACTGATTGAGGGACAAGCAGAAAGGGGTTTGGTGCCCAGGAGGTGCATTCAAAGTTAGGTGCCGTTGTAGAATTTATCGGAAGGCAATGTTATTTTATCCATATACTTTCAGGTGTATTGAGCTAAGCATTGAAAATTTCTAGTACTTACTAAGATGTTAAGAGCCAGCTACCTCTCATAACAACCCATGCGCCACAAATCTGCACCATTTCCAGTTCGTCGTCGTCATCATCATCATCTCCGATGAGCTCAAGCCACTGTTAGAGTCACTCTACACTTTACAAGTCAGTCCATCTCGCTGAGGGCCTTCCCCTCTCTGACCCTCCACTTTTCCCAGCTTGATGTGTTTCTCCAAGGACTGGCCCCTCCCGACAGCATGAACCAAGTCTTGAGAAGAAGTCTCACCATCCTCGCCTCTAAGGAGCATCCTGGTTGCACTTCCTTCAGGATAGATGTGTGTGTGCTTAGGGCAGTCCATCTGATATTCAGAACTCTTCTCCAACACTCAAAGGCATGCATTCCTCTGTTCTCCTAGTCATTGTTCAACTTTCAGATGCATGGGAAGCAGTTAAAAAGACCATGGCTTGGATCAGGTGCCCCTTAGTCCTTAAGCTGACATTGTTGCACTTCGGCATTTTGGAGAGGTTCTTGACAATCGTTCCGTAGTGCAGCATGTCTTTTGGAAGGCAGCTATGCTCGCCTCTATACCACCAACACGCAGCATGTCTTTTGATCTCTTGACTCGTGCTGCTAGGGATAATTGATCGTGGATCCAAGGAAAATGAAACTGTTGACAACGTCTGTCTTTTCTCCAGATAGGCTTTTAAGTCTGGACAAAGCCTCAGGAAGATGTTAATCAAACAGTAAAAGTTAACGCGAACACTCTGGATAGAAATTGGGCATGCACTGTTGGTGGGCAGGATGTGACAAGAGGAGGAGGTGTGGACGGGCGCCACCAGACCTCAGGGTGTCTCTTCTGTTAGGTTTTTTTTTTGCAAGGCCATTTATTCGTTTTGAGAGCAGTGTCTGGCTCACCAACTTTGGGCATGCTACCAGGAGAGGCCCGGCCCTGGAGGAGGACAAGACTCTCCCTGATAAGTCAGGGAGAGAGAAGGCGATCCTCGACGGTTTGAATTGTCACAGTGGCTGCAGCTGTGGCCCGGGCCCGGCAGGTGGTGAGGGTGGCACGGACCGGGCAGCGTTTCACTCCGTTGTACGCAGAGCTGTTGGAACCAGAATGGACACAAAGGCCCCTCACAACAATTAAATGCTGTGAGTGGACATTTCTGCACCGTGCGAGAACAGAGGCCATTCAGGAGGCTGTGTTTGCTTTTTAATTCTGAGCCATTTCTAGATAACACTGCTACTTCCTGTCAGTTCTCAACATTTCCTAGATAAAAACCTCCATCGCCTCCAGTCCTTCTCCAGCTGAGTGACCATTCTAGCAAAAAGAAGGGATAGTCGTCTGCTTTTTAAATTCCTTTTCCTGGAGCAGAAATTGTGGGCTGATGCTGAAATTGAATTACATTTTCTTTTTGCCTTATTTGGGATATAAAGAAACAGACATTCTTCGTCTGCAGGAGGAGATCCACATGTTAAGCGGTTGTTGTTGTTAGGTACCATCCACTATCAAGAATCCCTATGCAGAGGTCGTAATGATGGGTGGTGAGTACCGTCAAGGACCAGAGCTGACCCTCCTGTGTGTTTTTAGAGACAGTAAATCAATCGCTCGAGATGAGATTGCCCATCTTTGTCCCGCAGAGCAGCTGTGGATTCAAACTGCTTACCTTTGTGTTAGCAGCACGTGTAATTCCTTATCACCAAGTCACTAGAGTTCCCTGTAAACAAGGTACACTTACAGAATTCTACTTTTTCCTCAACTACTATTATTCCAGGAAAG